TACTATTTTTGCTGAAAAAAATAATATTAAAAAAATTCTTTTAGATTATGAAGTATTTCAGGTAATAAAAAAGTAAGGTTTAATATATTATGCATTCTAGGGTGATAGCCATTAATTTTATGAATTTCCAATTTTGGAAATATTATATGTATTTTTACTTTAAATGATAAATTTTATTCAAATTATCACCGCACCGTTCTGTTAAAGTTCATGCATGTTACGAAACTTTTATCGTGCTCTCTTATTAATATCAGGAATTCTGTTGTAATTTCAAAAAATGATTTTTTCGCGTACTCTCAGTCGGCGGCGATTCGACATCTAATTAATGCATATGAGAGTTAGAGTTGTGAAAGCAACTTTGAAATGGAATCTACCCTGGCGGAATGATTCATAGCATTGTACATGTGCTCGCATTCATTATCAATGTAAAACTATATCACTAATACTAAGATGATCATCAAAAAAAAAATTCAACTTTTCATTCTTTGTAAAAAAAATTTATTGTTAATTAAAATATATAGAAAAATAACTTACCAAGAACGAAAAAATTGACAACGATAAAAATGTAAGAAATTGAAAGTCATTATAAAGGTTGTAAGATAACGACGAATCTTCGCGCTATAGATAAATGAAATGGTAGAATTCGTTGTCTACGATCATTACTATTATGATTATTCTTGTAAGAGGCTCGATCCAATAATATTATTAAGAGCAGGTTCTACTCCTGTCCACGTAAATGCGTTCCTGAAACGATCTTCGAAATTTGAATGAGACATTTCCTAATATTCCCTAAAAAAAATATATATATATATATTAATATCTAATACGTAATGTTACGCTTAAGTACGTACCATATTTCTAGAATTGCCGGACTCGGGAATTACACGAATTCAATCTATCTAAATATGACTTTTTAGAGTCAACACCTCAGATTTATAGCATTGATGGCTTTTCTGTTGCAAGTCAAAGTCTTTTATTTCTTTCATTAAAGTTTGAGATGACCCATTCAAGTCTTCACGATTCAAAAATAAGATACTTCATCAGCCCTCATTATTCATCATGTCAAATAATTTCAAGAACTGCTTTAATTCTTGATTCGTTTGTTTTGAGCCAGCTACCAATATTCGAAATTCAGAATGTTAATTTTGATAAAGATTTGGGATCGGCACAATCAAATGATAAGTATTTAATGGACGTATGGATAGGAGCAATTTAAAAAAAATTTTAAAATTAGTAATATTTCTAAATGAAAAGACTATTCTAAATTACCTTACAAGAGACATCTTTTATAAAAATTCTTCAATTATATCGTTCCTAAGAAGAAAAAATTTTTTTCATGTCTCCTATTTGTTTATTCATACAACAAATACTCTGCCGATTGCGATTGAGGGATGCGGTCGGTGCAAACATGTATGTGTGGTGAGCATACATACATACATACACATGTTTTCTAAATTTACTTGAAGCTTATTGATGTATGGAGGATAAACAAGATGGTAATAGTTACTGTATATATTAAAAAAAAATTGTATAATTGATTAAATTTTTTATACGCCCAATTGATTGTACCATGAAAAGTTTTGTCATTAAAGAAGTTTAAATAAATTAATATTAAATTGAATAAATTAAAAAGGAAGACTTGGAATACAATTTAAAAAATTTTACATGAAGTGGTAAAATAATTACAATATCGTAAAATTATAATAAAAAAAATTGATCAAAAAAAATTAGATATCAAATCAATGAAATATGATCTATCGCAAGAAGACATTGAAGACATTTTATTAGTTTAAAATCATTATTATTTACTTACAATTCATATAAAAAATTATTGATCTTACATTTATATTAACGACCCAACCCTCATCGAAATTAAAGTCCCTTAATGGTTCAAGGCCGTCAATCCAATTTTGCTTTATACATTAACTAATCGTTCTTAGACAATAAATTTTAAGTTTTTGAAATGATCAGTGAATAAAATTTGTGTAAATTTTATAAAAATCATCAATTATTACCGCTTGGTATCATATTAATCCCTGTTTATGACAAACTTGATAAAATCCAACCAATTTTTTTTCTTTCTAATTGTGTTCATTATGCTCTAATTTAGAGTTCGTTAATTAATAATAATTTTTTTTTTTAAAAAAAAAAAAAACTTTAAACTTTTCGGATATAAGAATTTAAGAAATTATATATTTAAATTTTTAAATAAAGATTTAGAAATGAATTACATGATTGATTAGCCTGTTAAAATATTTATTAATTGGAAAATTGGAAAAAAAAAAAAGATCCAAAAATATTGATTTAAAACATACACGAATTCTTTTCACGTGTGTATCTTTTTTTTTTGAAAGTTATGGAACTTTGCAGAATATCTGAATTTAGAATTAACAATAAATTATCAATTGCGCGATGGTTCAATTATTTTTACATAAGCTTGTTGCGGATAATGATTTAGTGAACATTTTAATGGCGTTATGTTACAATGAGGAAACACCAATATTGAAAAGAATTATTTCCTGTTTAGTAACGATATTCATGCAGTGTAAAGATTCTAACACATAATGAAAATTGTGTAACTCGAAACACAAATTTGATGGATGAGACATGGTTATATATAGTGATGTAAGTCGCGACTATTTTAATATTGATTATGAACTAATCTAGCATAAGAAAATTCTTAGTGAGAACAAAGTTCTTGTGTACAACTGGTTTGTTTTGGAAATACTAAGAATAACTTCATATATTTGGATAATACAAAATATTAAAGGGTAGACACTTTTTTTTTTCTTATCATTTGAATTTAGTAAGTAATGCAACAATCAATGATGTGAAATTCTTTCGCAAATAAAAATCTTTATGTGAAAACTTGATTTTTTATTTAAGTGCATATATGCAATTAATAATATTGTTTAGCGGTAATGGTATTTTTGGAAATTTCTTCACTAATATGATCATGCTTCTTTGTGTAGTTTTTTTTTTTTTGATTGTTTGAGGCTTCATCTTAGTATTGTTCAATAAATGGGTATGTTGTAATCTGATTATGAACAGGAATAAACATAAATATATTGAATAACTGTTTTTTTTATATGGTATTTTTCATATCGAATGTTAAAACTTTTTTTTTTGGAGAAGGGACGAAAGATCAACAGGTGCAAATGGTGCAAATGGTGTAACTGTTTTTTTTTTTTGTTTTTTCTTATACAGGGTAACAGTTTTCCTTTGACTTTTTTTCTTTTTGAATATCAGCATTATCTAAAGGGGGCAAAGAACGATTTTTTCTTCCATTCTATTTGCATCCTCGTTTAACTAACTCTTTTTTTTGAATTAAATTAAAAATTATACAGTTGAATATATTTGTAAATTGATCAATACAATATAATTAACGGATCTCTTTTTCAAATAACCGATGGCTGAATATCAACAAATCAAGAAGTTCGACGCTTTACACTCATTTAGTTTAAGAATGGGAATTTCGTTATCTCATAAGCTTTTATTGATATTGTAAAGATAAGAGTTTCAGATGATTCATTATTAAATATACATATTAAATTAAATCTTTTGATTAATCGATATACTACACGCTATGTGATACAAATAAATTATAATTTTAAAAAATAAGATCAAATAAGTTCCTTATTTCAGACAACAACACTACTACTAAAAAAACAATGACATTTTTTAAAAAAAATGCGACATAAACCACCAAAAATCTACGCTAAAAGAAGAGAGGCCAAAATGAAAGGAAAAACCAAACGAAAAAGATATATTTATTTTGGTTTATTTTAATTTCGTAAAAAGTAATCTTTCCTAGATACAAAATAATACGAAATAAAACTCTTGATAAATAAATAAGTATAGTAAAGGAAGATTTTATTTTATAAAGCATTCAATTTTATTGCTGAATGGAAATTACGCCATTTGATTTTTTAGATTTGAGAATATTCAACATCTCATAATAAAGTTTTATGAATTTATTTTCCGGTATTTCTATCATTAGATAAATTAAAGAACATGACGATTAATTAGAAAAAAAAAAAAAAATTTATTAACATTAATCCTAGTTCTCGTGGAACCCGAGTAGATTTTTCACCCTTTAATTGATCATTCATATTCTAACCCAATTCTGTATAGTAACAAAAAAAAATATTATAATTCGATGAATTTTTCTTCTCAAGGATTCTATGCATTGAACGGAATATAGCCAATGAATTTTTTTTTTCTTCGATAATAATAATGTATTGTATATATCGAATCACAAGTAAAATATAATTTATATTATCAAAAATGTTGAAGTTTCACAAACTTTATTGCGGGAGTATCATGCGACATTTTAGTTTTAACTAACTTTAGATTCAAATGACATTTTTATTCGGCTAAATTGGCGTTTGCATCAAGCTATAAGATTATTACAAAAAAATATATATATAAACAGGATCAACGTTAAATTTCTTGGGCACATGCGAAATTGCAAAACAAATCTGAATATAGCCGGAGCGAAATTACCGACCATAGAAACGAATTTAAGAGTTTGATTGGTAGGTTCGGTGTTAATCTTAAAAATTTTTAAAGTTTTTGTTTGTGATTGTGATATCAAGAAATGAAGGGAATTCTTTCATTATCCTTTTTCTTTGTTTCTAGACTTGAATTGATTGTAGCACAAATGTAGTACAACTAGAATTAAAAAAATTTTATAGATATCACGACTTGAAAAAAAAATAGAATTTTTGTGTCAGTTTGAAAAGCGAAGAATTCGTAAAAATCAAATTAGTGATGTGTAACCCCGTTTAATACTTATAAAATCAATAATTATCCATTTGTTATCATATTTTATTATATTATATATCATTTTTTTTTAAAATCAACATAGTTGATTCATCATATGCAGAACTTTATTTTATACCACGAAATATACTTTAATATATCCGATGTACTGCAAACACATGTATTCTAGAATTCGATATCATGAGAAGGCTGTATTATTGCCATTTAACTTTAACCAAAAAATTTAAGGGTTACAAAAAAATCATTCAATCATTTTTAAAAAGTAAAATTGCGACTTGCAGCTGATGCAAAAGAATATTTTTTTATATTGACAACCTTCCAATTGGTTCCTTTAATCAACACGTTGGGATTAAATTAAAATAAACATAAATAAAAATCAATTTATATACGATGAGAAATTTTTCGTTTTAAATTTACCTTTTTTTTTTAAAGAAAAAAAAAGAAATTTTAAGCTAAATATCTTAATTACAAAACAATATCAATATATTTTCCATTCTTCACATTTAATATGGTTCAAACACGTAAGGACAAATACGATAATATTAATTACCAAAGTGGTAACGACGTAAGTCAAAACGTTTTAATTAAATGAAACTATAATTTTTAAATTAAAAAGGTTATTACATTCGTTTTATAGGAGGATTCAATCATCCTCGATTGCGTGATGGCAATGAGAAATGAAAGAAACGCGTACCGAAGGATTGCCCAAATTTTTCCACAATATAGTGCTCATCAAATTCGGTACCGGTTTCGTAATAAAATTAATCCTTTAAGTAAGATATTATTCTAAATTTTTTTTATATGTATTAAAATTAACTTAATCGAGTTAAAGATTCTTTTTTCTTTCTTTCCATTTATTAGTAAACCATGCGAAACTTAACAGAAGTCAAAAAAAATTTATAGATAATTGGATTTCCAAAAACCAATCGAAAAATGGAAGAATTTCATGGAAAAGTTTAAATAGAGATTTGTGCAAAGAATTTTTTACTTTAAAGACTGACAATATAATAAAATCTTATTGGCACTCGAAAAAAGGTAAAAGAATATCATCTCGCTCAAGCACGCCGGAGAGCTCAAGTACTATCGTATCAAGTCCTATCTCGACTTGTTCTACGATAATGAGCGATAGGGATTATGATGATGATGGTGATGGTGATCCTGGTGGTATTGGTGGCGTTTGTGGTATGTCATCCAGCGCTCCGATTGTATTTTAATATAATGATTTTTGATTGTAACACATTATTGTATTTAATTTATAAATAAATTAAACTCTGTATATTACATTATATAATTGTTCCTATTATTTAAATCATTACGCATCAATAATTCAAAACTAAAGGAGATACTTAACAGTTTTACGGATGTATAAAATATCAACTTCGCCAAATATACTGTATGTTTGGTTTTTTAAGGAATATTTTAACTAAAGTATCACTGCTTAAATATTATTTATTCTTCTATATTTTGAACTATTTTACCGCTCCTATGGTAGAAGAACCCTCTTGGAAATCCCAGAATTTCTTAAAATTTAAAATTTTAGGATTTAGTACATAAAAATTTCAATTTTATCTTGACATCCTACTTATATGGATAAGATCTGCACTGCATCACTCCGTTTAAGTATTTTGGGAACTAATATCATGTGATTTACTTTATACTGTACTTTAAAAAATAGAAACTTAATCTACTAGAGGATTCAAATGAAAATTTAGATTTTTTTACAACAAATTACTGTTATATGCATGGTTGTTTTTAATTTTATAACATGATTTCAGCATTGTTACCAAACTATACTAATAAAATGAGCATATTTAAAGTTGATCAGCATATAGATATCAATTTTTATTAAAATAGTTATTAAAGATTACTTTCTAGCTTACAATTCAATATTAAGATATTTTTTACCTAATTTTATTTTAAATTTATCTATTTACTATTATTAACCTATTTTCAGAAATATTATCATTATGTTTATCATATATTTCATCATAAATTATTTGTATAATATCCTCTTCATTTAAAATTTTTCTATTGTAATTTCTTTAAATTATAAAAATAATTATTAATTATATTTACTAATAAATTATATAATGATCAAACTCTATATTAAATTCTCTAATGATTTTGATCAATATTTGTAACTTCTTTATTAATTATTATTTATTGATTTTATATTATACTATTATCTATATTATCTTTATTTATTTAAGAAAATTTCTGTTTTTATTCAGCAATTGTAAATGATTTCTTAATGCATCTACTAAATAATCAATTATTTTTTTTAATATTAAGCTTCTTTTGATTAATATCTTTACTCTTTTCAAAATTGTTAATACAGTCAACTCTTAATATAATGAACTCTTGATATAACAAATTTTTTAACAAATATATAAAAAATACTCTTATTATAATAAATTAACCAATTAAATCTCTTAAAATCTCACTATACCCTTATAGTAAAGTTGAAGTTTAGGACATAGAGTTTATTATAATAAGAGTTGACTATATATAATAAAAATAATTACGTTTATAATAAATTTAAAAACTTGTAATAATTCTAATATTAAGAGGCGTGCTAGAAATCAGCTGATTTTACTTTATTATAAAGCCAACCTCCACCCCCTACCTGATAATCAATTTTGATTGGCTAAAAAAAATCATATATAAAATAGTTAAATTAGAATAGTTAAATAG